GGTGTCTATTGGTCACTTCGTCTCGGGACTCGTCTCTTAGCCTCTCCTGCCACCTGTTTATGGTGCATAATCACTAATGCTCTTTAGCACTTAAGGTTCCTGGTAGTCTTTAGTCCTTAGTGTTTCTGGAATTATCTAGATTATTCAGAATTTATAACATCTTCCTTTCTCTTAGATCAGAGAAAGATGAGCGACTTCTCAAAAATTGACATGAACACATTTCATGTTCAGTGCAACTCTTGGGCCAGGCAGAGAGGGTGTTCTTTCTATGCCTATTTTTCAAGTGAGAAAACTGAGGAGTAGGAATTACTTTTTGGCTGATTTTCCCTGAAGCAAAAACTCAGCCCATGTGACCTCAGCAGCTCACCCAGGGGTCTTCCCACTGGGCCGTCCTCTCTCTCCCCTTGTCCAGGCAGAATGCCAGTGGATGGCGCCCCATCTTCCTAAGCGCTCTCCATTCCGACTCTGAGCTCAGTACTTTTGTTCATAGTTGGTACATACCTGGCAGTGGATAAACCAATGAATACTTCCACGTAAACTGGTTCATTTGTAGATCACTTAAAAAGCCTCTTTTTTTTTTTTTACACCTACTCACCTAGAAACACATCACACTTCAGATTCAACCTTACAATGCTGAGCAAAAACAAGGGTAGGTGTTGATAAAACTTTCTAAAGATGAGACCTCATGCTGTTAAAACAATCGATCTATACCAAACTCGGCTGCAGTACAAGGTCTGCTTACTATGAATTCTGTTACCTTTTCTCTACACAACACAGCTTGACTCAGTAAGTAAGTAAGTAAGTAAGTGTGTGTGTGTGTGTGTGTGTGTGTGTTCTAGTTCTTGTCCTTGCTAGTAACTACCTATGTGATGATTAGGAAGTTTCTGGGTCGCTTTGGATCTCACTTTCCTCATTTCTCAAAATCAAATGTTGGATTTGATAGCATAATATAGAATCATGGACTCTTCATGCTGGGAAACTTAGAGATCATCTGGTTCTACTCCCTCAATTTACTGATAAGGAACACTGTTCTCTTCTAGCTCCAAATTAAATTCTGAGAGGAACTTATGGCTTTCTAATAACAGACCCAGCTTTTCTGAACCCTGAGACTACCCCGTACTGCCATCTCTGCCACTTACCAAATGTGTGACTATGATCCTCGCATGTCGTTTCTCTGGACTTCAGTTTCCTGCTCTGTAACAGTGAAGGGATGGACTAAGGCTCCTTTCAGATTTAACATTTTGAGGACTAGGAAAGGCATCTTTGAAAACTGACATCTTCGCTACCCCTGGGATAGGACTCAGACTGTAATGAAGTGTAAGGTAACTCCAGGCAGAAGCCAGACAGTGCAGGGAACAAGTCAGAAGCATCCACCCAGAGGACAAGGATCAGGTGAATTTGTTCAATGAGTCCCTGAATTTAAAAATTGCTTGACTGATGTCTGGTTTTAAATATAATAACCCAACATCCTTTGCTGTTGGCCCAAAGATACGGACAAAAGAACCAATTAAGAGAGTGATGTGTTGTAGTTCATTTCCAATAGATTTGGGTATTACAAGTCAGAAAACCATCTCACAATCCTTCTGCCTTAATGGGCATCACATTACAAGTCATCTCAGTATTTTTCAGTTGGACATCAGAAACCTCACAATTTATTAAATATCACATTCCCGAGTATGTGTTTACTCCCTTGCTACAAATGGCCAGTGGGACAGGAACCGTGTGTCACTTCCAGAGCAATTATTGTGGGGAACGTATCAAAAGAGATCTGTCAAGTTTGAGTAAGTATAGATATTGTGTGAAGTCCCGAAGGAAATCAAGCCGAGTGGGGTACAGTCTCGCTAGTGGCAGCGCGTGAGAATGTATTTGTTTTATTTAGTTGGCACTATTTTTCAGAACGTTGATAGCATGTCATGTAACCCATTGGATTAATGTTTTGTTCTGATAAAAATAGACTTAGGTTCTTAGGGGAAAGCTGTATCGTCTGTTTAGTGAAATAATGGCACTAGCTCTTACTTTCGAGGGTTAAGAGGTCTTATTGCTTTCTGGAGGGCGCCCTGGACTGCGAGTGTAGCTGCAGGAAGGGGGCCAGTCTGCTTTTGACCTTGCTTACCCATTCTAGGCCTCAGAATTTTCATATTTTTCTTTTTTTTTCTTTCTTTCTTAATAGCATTTATGCTATGGTTAAAATCGTGAAAAGCCTATAGGTATATAGACCAGAACTGAAAAGGTATACCAAGCAATGGCTGTCATTCTGTTGAAGTAATGGAATGGCTCAAAAATTTTGTTTGCATGGGTTTTTAGATTTTTTTTTTAATTATTTTTTTTTTTTACCTTTTGAACCCCTTTCCCCATTTCTCCCACCCTCACCTCTGGCACCATTCCATTCTTCATATCTGCAAGCTTGAATGATTGATTTCTAGATTTCACATATAAGAGAGAGCATACAGTATTTTTCTTTCTCTGACTTACTGTCACTTAGCATAATGTCCTCAGAGTCCATCAATCTTGCTACAAATAGCAATATTTCATTATTTTTTATTACTAATAGTATTCCATTGTATATATGTACTACCATTTCTTGATCCATTTATACATCAATGGACACTTAGGTTGTTTCCGTATCTTGGCTATTTTAAATAATACTGCAGTGAACATGGGGGGTGGTGGGGGGAGATGTCTTTTCAAAATAGTGTTTTCTTTGATTAAATACCCAGAAGTGGAATTGCTGGGTCATAAGGTAGTTCTATTTTTAGCTTGTTGAGGACCCTCCATACTGTTTTCCATAGTGGCTGCACCAATCTGTAGTCCCACCAACACTGTACAAGGGTTCCCTTTTCTCCACGTTCTCACCAACATTTGTAGTTTATTGATTTGTTGATGATGGCCATTCTGATAGGTGTGAGGTGTTATCTCATTGTGGGTTTTATTTACATTTCTCTAATGATTAGTGACATTTAGCATTTTTTCATATACCAGTTGGCCATCTGTATTTCTATTTTGGAAAAATGTCTATTCAAATCATCTGCCCATTTTTTTTTATTTTTTCTTTTTTTTTTCTATTGAGTTGTATGAGTTCTTTATATATTTTGGATATTAACCCCTTATCAAATACATGATTTGAGAATAATTTCTCCCACTCAGTAGGTTGCCTTTTCATTTTGTTGGTTTCCTTTGCTGTGCAAAAGCTTTTTAGTTTGATGTGGTTCCATTTGTTTATTTTTTGCTTTTGTTGCTTTTGCTTTTAGTGTCAGATTCAAAAAAACTCATTGCCCGGACTGATGTCAAGGAACTTTTTCTAGCTCCTTGTTTTGCTCTAGGAGTTTTTCTCTAGGAGTTTTATGGTTTCAGGTCCTAACATTCAAGTCTTTAACCCATTTTGAGTTCATTTTTGTCATTGTGTAAGATGGTGGCCCAGCATGGGGTTACTTATAATTACATGAATGTTCTTCAATAAAGTGATTAGCCATTCTCATATTAACATAATTATATCTCTCTAAAAATGCATGAGGAAGTGTTATGATCCAGTGGCAAACAGAAAGCTATCAGGCATCACCCCTCCTTTGTATGTCAACAGTGGATTATTGGGGCAAAATACATTTCCTGTGGGTCATCTATCATGAAGTCTGTCACACCAGGCCTCGCTGAAATGGTCAACATCGAAAATGCCTGCTCGAGCCATCAGTGTTCTGTATACAGAGCTGAAGTGAACTTTCTGCCATTTTCCAAGGACACGCCATGCATTTGGATTCTAACCCAAGACCATATGAAAAGAGCAAACTGTCAGAACTCACTCAGCCCGCTGGTTCGAAACCACTGAGTCCCTTTGCCTCTAGTTGCCCCTCTCCCCCCATCAGAAAGCTTTTGAAGGTAAAGTGGGGCGTGTTGGAGGGTCAGTGCCCGCGCCTCCTGTGTCACTTCTCCCTGGAGATCCCCCTTGACAGAGACGGGTCTTGGGACGCCTGGAGCTGAAGAAGTCTGGTTTCCTCAGGGCACAAGAAGTTCACTGCAGGAAATTGTTCAAACTCACTGTCATTTGAGTCCTTATCTGAAATTGAAAGCGTGGGCTCACGTGTTCATTCACAAAACATTCACCTAATTCTTAAGAAAATTAGGACTTTCAAAGAATATTTGCAGGGATGGTTGCCTCCTACACTCATCCCACTGGCATTCTGGGATAGATAAGCATTTGCGAAAAGGCCGCTTTAATTGCTACTTTATATTCACTCTCTTTTGAATGTCATCATTTTTTTCAGCTCATTTTTAAAAATACAGATTTACATTCATGGGACCAGCCAACCAGTCAGTCAGTGTATGCTTAGCGAGTATTTGTCACAATATTAAACCAACATCTCACTAAAATAAAGGGAAAAGGGTTCAACCTCACAAGTAAGAAGAGGAGGAATTTGCATGGATAGTAAGAGGCACTGGGAGAGGCTGGACTGAGAGTCAGAAATTACCCTAAGTGGGGCTGAGAGTTTGCAGTAGTTGCTTTGTTTCCTGTGCCAAACTTTCTCAGTTAATTGAAAACTATAAAGTGTATTGCAAAACACGAGGTGCTCTGCAAGCATGTGGCACTATGATGTGCAGTAATGGTTATTATCTACCAAATGAAGAAAGCGATCTAAGCAGCTTCCAGGGTGCTTCCAGCTCAGCTCTGTCAGGATTGTAGACTGTGTGGGTCTGGAAATTGAGCATTAGCCCAGGAAGTATCGCATGGTGCTTGGCGCACGCTTAGCAAACCTCAGTGCTATTCCCTTGACTTAAAGACATCGGGTTTCTCTTAATCGACTATCCGTTTACTCTCTAGCTCTTTAGAAATCAGACCCGATCGACTAAAGGTAGGAAAACTGGTAAAATGCTTTAGGGGACTGCAGTTACTTCCTATTTATATTTAGCAGGCGGAGAAAGACTCTGTGGGCGATGGTGTGAATGTCTAACTTGAGCGCTGCTTCCCTGAACAGAGTGGAGTGCCTAACGACGGTTTCTTTTGCTTTCAGAGCTGAGCTACGCCTGGATCTTCAATGAATACCCTTCCTATCAGGACAATCGGCGCTTCGTTTCTCAAGAGACTGGGAATCTGTATATCGCCAAAGTAGAAAAATCAGATGTTGGGAATTATACCTGTGTGGTTACAAATACAGTGACAAATCACAAGGTCCTAGGGCCACCCACACCACTGATACTGAGAAATGACGGTGAGTTTTTGAAAGGGGTTTTGTTAGTTCTGTTTTTTGGGATCCCAGGTTGGGTGTAGAAAGTTGTGATGTTATTGGCGCACAGAGCTTGATTGTCTGAATTGAATTTAAGAAACGTTTAATGCTTTCCACACTTGGGACCCATATTTTCTCCACTTGTGTAAGAAATAAACCCATGAATCTGTTTTGGAAAACTGATTAGAAATCTAATTGCTACTCTCAACAGGAATAGACTGTGGGTTTAGGTGAATATAAATAACAAAGGAATCTGTTTATGGTTTCCTTCCCATCGAAATCGTGTACCCAGGCAGAATGAAGTGGGGGATTGAACAATTAGGTCATTAATCATTTTGATGCAATTTAGGATTCAGTGTCCAGAAAGAAGTTTTAAATTATCCAAATAACGTCTGGATTTATGATCCCGAAGACATAGTTCCCCCCACACTGAAATGCAGGACTGTCGAGGCTAATTGCAGAGAGACGTTTTAATTTCACACACTTTTGTGAGAATGGTTCCAGAAAATATTTGAATTTCTCCTTAGTGACTTAGATGGATGACATGATAGTGTGTGGTAATTCACCATGTGCTGTTTAAAGTTAATCTCACCACATTCTGTGCCCCACTCTGGGAGCACCAGGCCTTTTCCCCGCCGTGAGTCTTTGTGTGGGTCTGTTCGCTCTTCTTGAAATGCTGTTCCTTCTCTTAGTGACTACAGCCCCGCGAACTCTTTACTCTGTGTCACAGTTAGTGTGTGTCACTGTCTCCCCAACTATACGCTTGCCTTTGTAAAAGCACGTGTACTTGACCATTCCTGTACCTCCGGCCCCTAGAACAATACCCGGTACACAGAGGCTTCTCAACAAATATTTGTTGACTAAATGAAAACGAAACCATGACTCAGTCCTTCAATGATGGCTGATATATGACTTCAGCAGTCATAGTGTACACGTTTAAGTTTCTGTTCTTTTTAAACCCCTTTCTCATCGAGTACATAGCAAACCTTCCATTATGAACAGGATTTACTAGACCCATCATGCAGGTGAGGAAACCATTAGCCACGGACATGAATAACAAGCATTTATTAGGCACCAACTATTTGCTGGGTGCTCAGAGCTTCACCTGGAGTATTTTATTCAAACCCCAAGCAATTATAGGAGGGATGTCCCCTTTCATATTTTACAGATGAGCCCACTGGGGCTCAGACATGGTAAATGACAAATCCCAAAGCCACACAGCTTGCAAAACAGTGGCTCTGCTCCACACCCGGCACCACATCCTGTTGACTCCAGAGCCCAATATATTAACCCCTCACTGTTCCGTTTCAGTGCACGATACCACCTCTCGCCTGAGTGTTACGCCAAGAAAAATGGGGCAAAATCAAGCCTGGAACTCACACTTTTCTCCCAATCTGCCCTCCTTCCCTCTGCACTGAAGGGACCTTGTACTCAGGTGGGGCTGTGACTCTGAACCCCGAGCCCAGGATATGTGCCGACAAGCCCCTCCACAGAAAGGGTCTGAGCACCCCTGCTGTATAGACCACACTGTGGAATGTTTGAACCAATGATGTTGATTTCAAATACTCATTCATTTATTCATGTATTTCACATGTCTTTACTTATCAGTTGCTATGTGACAGTCACCCCTCTGGGAGTCGGTGAACAAGACCAGTATCTCCAGGTGCCTCCATTCTCCTGGAGGGCACAGGTGAAAGCAAACAAACAAAAACAAGAATCGGATTTTGTTTTAAATAGTAACAAAATAAACCGGTATAATAGCACAGAGACTGGGGGGGCAGGTGGGGGAATGATGCCTACTTCAACAGGGTTGTCATGAAAAGCCTTTCTGAGGAGGTGACAGATGAACTGAGACCAGATGACAAGACTCAGTCCTGTGACAATCAGTGAGGAGCGTTCCAGGCTGAGTCACATGCAGAGGCCCTGAGGCCTGAATAAACACTTGGCGTGTCCAGGGAGCACAAGTGATGCGAGCTTGGTGGGGGCGTGTCCAGGGAGCACAGGTGATGTGAGCTCGGTGGGGGCATAGTAAGCAGGGTGGGTGGTAGTTTGAGCAGAGGTTGGAAAGGAATCAGGGCCCAGATCATGGGGCCGTGGAGGGAAGACTGGAGTTGATCTCAAGGGTGATGAGAAGCCCTTAGCGCCGCGGTTCTCAACCTGTGGGTCGCGACCCCTTTGGGGGTCAAACGACCCTTTCACAGGGGTCGCCTAAGACCATCAGAAAACAAAAAGATATTTACATTACGATTCATAACAGTAGCAAACTCACAGTTATAGAGTAGCAACGAAAATAATTTTATGGTTGGGGGTCACCACCACATGAGGAACTGTATTAAGGGGTCGCGGCATTAGGAAGGTTGAGAACCGCTGCCTTAGAGGATTTTATGTGAGAGTGATGTGCGCTTTTAAAAAGACCGCTTAGCTACTGTGTGGAAATGGAGGTTGATAAAGTGAGAGTGGACGCGAGGAGCCCCACTAGAGGACAACGGCCGTGATTCGGTTGGGAATGATGGCGTCGCAGTGGGGAGGCCCGAAGAGGGCGGGTTCAGGGCACAGCGAGCCGGCCAGGCTGCCAGGACTGGCTGATGGACGGGCCGTGGGGGCTGGCAGAAGCGAAAACCAAGGATGATGCGTAGCTTCGGGCACAGCAGCCGGGTTTATGGGAGGCTGTTTACTGAGATGGTCTTGCTGAACAGGTTTGTAAGGGGACAGTCAAGAATATCATTTTAGTCATTATTTGTAAAGCCAAAAGCTCGACTTGTCCCCTGGCAACAGAAAGAATTCTTTCCTTCGTGGTCCCTGGCCCACCTCCCCATCAGAGTCTCCTCTGCTGTGTTTCTGTGTCCTCGGCTTGTCTTCCCACACCGGTGACACTGTGACCCGGCACACATCATAGTTTGCATCCAGCTTGTACCTGGGCCCACAGCTTGCCACATGGCAAACGCTAAATTAATATGTTGGATTAAGCTGACTTCTATTAAATAAAAATGAAAAATCTAAGCAGCCTTCAGGGTCAGGCAGGCAAGGGACCTAGCCTGTCAAAAGCTATCACTGCTATGACTCCAGACCTAAGGGTGAAGAGACTTTTTCAAAAGATGGGCCCCAGCGGCGGTTGGTATAGAATGATGTAAAAATACAGCCCCTCTGGCCCCTGGCCGTGACGCACGCGTGCCAGACTGCCTGCCCAGTGGTGTCACTCATTTTGGTGAATCACGTGACCAGTGACTTTCATAATGACTCCGACACACTAAGGCACACGGCGGAGAGACCTCTCAGGGCTGCTGCTTCAGAGACAGGAGCAAAATGTCAGCAACACAAGGACCCTCGAACCATCCTGCACGCCTGAGGTTGACAAGCACCCTGCCTCTTAGATTTATCTCAGCTTGTCTACTGTACCTTCACGGTGATGACTAATGATTTTTATTAGAGCGTTTTATCACAAAATTAGTTGACTAAGGATCTCATTCTTCAGCAATTAATGCCCGTTCATTCTTAATTTCTGTGAGAGCTGCACAGTGAAAATTCATAATGCGCCTTTTCCCATTTAGGCTGGAGTCCATAAAATGGATACTCGGGCTCTGCCGCTAAGCGCAAAATAGGTTATCTAATTAGCACCCGTCTGGAGGTAAGGGAAAAGGGAAAATATAAATCCAGGAGATATTGCCAAATAACGATGATGCTCGTGTTAAAGTCTACCCAGTGAGACTAAAATCAGTGAAGCCGCCATTCCACAATTCCTAGAATTTAGTTCCTGTATGTTAGCCTGATAGGTGCAAGTGAGTGTAGAATCAGTACAATCATTTTGATCACCAAAGCTCACCCGCCATTCACATTCCCTTCTGCCTCAGAAATGTGACTGAGCTGCCGAGTTTATCCCCCGACTGAACGGCGTGGTGGCTCCTTCTTCTTGCCGTATGCGCCCACGTAACTTAAAGAACTAGAAGGCCTCAATGTTCAGGTCATTTCTTGAGTCCCAAGGAAGCAGTTCTGTATCATGATTCACTGTTTTCAGCCCAAAAGGCTGCAGTGAGTCATAAAAAGTGCAGAATGAAGGTAGGCTCAGGTACAGACAGGAACGGAAGGTGATGTGTCCCTTGTCCATCCTGTGGACCCGATGTGGCCATGGCCGCCAGCACGCTGCAGTGTCGCAAGACCTTGGCTTCCCCTCGTCCCTTCTCCCAGCTCTTCACGTCCTCACCCTTCCCTATGCCTCAGATCGTGACTGAAATATGGGGCAGGCCAGTCCAGAAGTAAGCGTGAGGACTCTGGAGCCAGACACCCTGGTGGGTTCCACCCCACGCGTTACCCGCGTGACTGGACATCAGTTTAACTTCATTATGCCTGGTGTCCTCGTCATTCAAACAAGGACAGCAGTCCCTGGTGCAGAGGCGTCCTTTGTGTGTTAAATTACATGTAAAGTGCTTTGAACAGCGACACAAAATAGAAGGGCAACACCAGTGACTTCCTTACTTAAAACACGTCCAACAAATTAGTTTTAAAAACAGATTACAGAGCGTACAGGTCGTGTGACCCTTGTTTTGTAAAATCCACATGGATGCTGACAGAGAAAGCTGGAATTCTACTCTCTAAAATGATAGCAATGTTAAACTTTAAAGGGCTCAACGTTTAGTGACAAAATGTTCAATTCTTTGTTTTCTGTTTGCTTCGCCACATTTTCTCATTTTTCTACAATGATCAGTTATCGAATTTGGTAAAGGGGCTATGCATGGGTTATGGGGCCTACAAGCGCCTAGCGATCACCCAATTTTTTATCTTTGTCTTATGGGAAAGAAGGGGACTGGTCCCCAGTCGCCACCCCATCTAACCAGGGGTCCAAAAGCTGTCTGTGGCTCTCGATGTACACACATTTACTTTGTTTCTTTTGCCTTACGATTTTTGAAAACTTTATATGGGGAGTTTTCCCAAATAACTATGTTACTTTGTAGTATTCCCCTCCAGGAAGTACAAAATGAAAAGTTGTTAGA